CTGGCGTCGGCGCGGGCGTCGGTGGTGGCGTTGGCGCGGCCGTCGGTGCAGGCGTCCGCGCGGGCGTTGGCGCTGGCGTCGGTGTGGGCGTCGGTGCGGGCGTTGGGGCTGGCGTCGGCGTTTGAGCGTAAAGGAAGTGCAGCTTCGCGCAAGTGTTCGGGGGCTTCGGCTTCCCTGAGTCTTCCGAAATTCGCCGGCCAAACGGCCCAGAGGCGCGCTAGAATCTCCCTCCGCGCGCGCTAGAATGTTTGTAGTTCGCGCGCGCGCGCGCGCGGCGGCCCCTGGGGGCCCCAAGAGTAACCCGGCAAGATCACGACAAGGTCCCAGCAAGGTCGGGCCAGAGATGCCGGAACTCCTGGGCGCGGCCATGGGGCCCTCCCAAGCGCCCCAGCGAGGCGCCCAAAGGATGGCACGCCCCACGGCCTCAGGCCAAGAGCGTTCCACGATGGCCCACGCTGGTCCCAAGACGGCCCAAGAAGCGCCCCAGAAGCTCTGGGAGGGTTCCAGGAGGACTTCCAGGGACCCCGAAAACGCAAAAATCATAGTTGTTGCTGGGATTTTCTGATGATTTTGGCGCTGGCGCCTTTTCGAGCTGCGGACCGCCCTGGACGACCCAAAAAGCTTCCAAGAAAGCCCCCAAATGGCCCAAGATGGCCCTAGGACGGCCCAAGAGGCTTCCAAGACGGCCCCAGGATGTTCCAAGCAGCGGACCCAGAGGGGGAACCCGAACAGACATTTCGAGCTCTCGGCCCGAAATGGCGCCCAGGAAAACCCCAGAGGCCCCCAAGAGCCACCGAAGAGGCCCCAAGAGGCCCCCAAGAGGCCCCAGAAGAGGCTGCCAAGATTCCCAACGGGCCCAAGGAAGCCCCAAGAGGCCCCCATCCAGCCCCCAAGAAGCCCCCCAGACGCCTCAAAACTGCTCCCAAGGAACCCCCGAGAGTCCTTCGAAGAGACATCAAGAAGCATCCATGAAGACTTTGACCCACAACCCAGGCACGTCTCGAAACTCTGCTGGAACTCTCTTGAGCCATCTTGGCGCCCTCTAGTTCTAAGCTCTCTTCGGCGGGGTGCGAGCCACATTTCCAAAGATCTCCTCGAGGGCAATCCTGCCTGTCCTACCGTCCCCCATGGGCACGAGCACACCACCACGCAGCCGCGGCGATGCGAAATGGGCCGGCGGAATGAGCGAAGCGATTAAATGAATGATCCCCTCCATCGACCACCGCCGCCAACTGCACCATCCTCTATTGCCCATTGGTCCATCAGACAATGCATGTTGCCACCCTGACCTCCGTCGCCGTCGCACGTGAACATGTTGAACGTACGGTCCAGGCGCTGGTTCATGCACAGTCCGCTTTCCCCCTTTGGCATTATCAAATACCATGGGCTGGGCGCGCCATTGCCAGAGTCCAACGCGAGCGACAAAGAGTTATCGAAGTTCCAATCAGGCGGCGTTTCCCAGGTAGCTCCAGCTGCTACCTGACACGTGTCTGCGCACGTGCCGTCGTCCAAGCAAATCTTGACCTGGCTCAGCACCCCTTGATCTTTTGAAGGCGGACATGTACAGACCGGAGGATGCGGACCCCATTGCACAAGAGCCCCGTACGCAGGAATACCCATGCCATGGCCCAGGACTCTGATCGCCGTCGGTGGCCGCCACCTTCACCCAATTCTCCTGTGCGCCGGAAACCACTTCCGTGATGCTGGACTGGACCTGCAAGGAGCTCGCCGCGGCGTGGTGCGTGCCGTGGGCAAACAGCATAAGGCACAAGGCGCGGGTCGCCATCTGGGCTCCTGTCGGTGTCAGGCAAGCAGCAGCAATCTAGTGTGTTTGTGGCAAAACCACGCAGGCTGTGCTTGAGCCACAGCGGCCGCGGTTGGCAACAGCACAATCATATATGAGGCATCCTGGGGCCCTCCCGGGCCCTCTTGGGCCGCCCGTGGCCTCTTCTGAGGTCGTCCTTGGGCCTCCTCGGGGCCCTTGGGGCTTTTCGGTTGCAAGATTCGTCGTCGTCGTCGTCGGTCGTCGGTCGTCTGTCGTCGTCGGTCATCCGTCGTCGGTCGTCCGTCGTCCGTCGTCGGTCGTCCGTCGCCGTCGTCGTCGTCGTCGTCGCCGTCGTCGGCGTCGTCGTCGGCGTCGGCGACCGCGCCGCTGGAGCGGCGCCGCGGCGGTGGCCCCGAGCGGCCGAGGGCCCCCGGCGCCCCCTCGGCGCGTGCCGGGCTGCCGCCAGGGGATGGGGGCGCAGCAGAGGCAGCAACAGCAGCCTGCCGTCGCTGGGGCGTCCATGCCCCCCGTGACTTCTTCGGTTTCGCGCGTGCTCTGTGGCTCGATGATCAAGGTCCTCCTCCTCCTCCTCCTCCTCCTCCTCCTCCTCCTCCTCCTCCTCCTCCTCCTCCTCCTCCTCCTCCTCCTCCTCCTCCTCCTCCTCCATTCCATCTACTTATAGATAACTCCTCTCTGTCGCACCCCGAGGCGACTTGTTAGGGCGGGCCGGGCGTTTCGCCTGAGATTTCCTCACCACTCCTGACTCTGAAGCTTTAAAAAAACAAAAGCTTCACAGATGGAGGGCGGGTGGTTTTCAAAATGTAGCTCTCGCCTTAGCGCCGCGCACATTCGTTTGAAACATTTGCAAGAGCTTCACGGATTGAGGGCGGGGGGGGGTCAAAATGTGGCTCTCGCCTTAGCGCCGCGCACATTCGTTGTAAAAATGACAAGAGTCTCACGGATTAAGGGCGGGTGGTGTTCAAAACGTGGCTCTCGTCCTAGCGCCGCGCACATTCGTTGCAAAAACGATCAGAGTCTCACGGATTGAGGGCGGGTGGTTTTCAAAACGTGGCTCTCGCCCTAGCGCCGCGCACATTCGTTTTCAAAATTTGCAAGGGCTTCACGGATTGAGGGCGGTTCCTTTTCAATGTAGAAATTTACAAGAGCTTCATGGATTGAGGGCGGTCCTTTTCAAAATGTGGCTTTCGCCTTAGCACCGCGCACATACGTTTCAAGCATTTGCAAGGGGTTCACGGATTCCCATGATCAACGTACCAGAAATGGTACTTTGGAAGGGTTCAGGATTATTCGGGTGCAACAGTTATGTTGATTCGCGATGTTGAAATCCAAAAGATGGCGTTATGGCACGATTCCAGATCGCCAAAGGTTGATACGTGGCGTTGAAATCCCGAGAATAATGTTTTTGATTGCTTCGGGATCTTCAAACGGTTGTCTTCCAACGAGGTAGTTCCCTGAATGGAAATCAACCGTTGTAGCAGCTTATAAAGAGGGAGCTCGGAGGAAGGGTTAATTTCAACATCGATGATGACTCTTCGGTTTACACTGGTCATCTTCCTCCTCCTCATCCTCCTCCTCCCTCTCCTCCTCCTCCTCCTCCTCCTCCTCCTCCTCATCATCATCATCACCATCACCACCACCACCAGCATCATCATCGTCATCATCATCATCATCATCATCATCATCATCATCATCATCATCATCATCATCATCATAATCGTCATCGGCAACATCCTCATCACCACCACCATCATCATAATCAAAGCATCATCAGCATGATCATCACCATCAGCAGCATGATCATCCTCATCATAATCAGCACCATCATCATCAGCAGCAGCATCAGCATCATCATGATCAGCAGCATCATCAGCAGCATCAGCATCATCATAATCATCATCATCATCATCATCATCATCATCATCATCATCATCATCATCATCATCATCATCATCATCATCATCGTCATCATCATCATCAGCATCATCATCATCCCCATCCCCATCCTCATCCTCCTCCTCCTCATCATTCTCCTCATCCTCCTCCTCCTCGTCCTCCTCCTCTTCCTCCTAATCCTCATCCTCATCCTTCTTCTCCTCCTCCTCCTCCTCCTCCTCCACCTCTCTGCCGCTCCCCGATGGCCCTCGCCGAGAAAAATGCACACGTCCGAGCGATGCCACGGCAGACGGAGGAGCCGCGCAAGATAGAGCACCAGCACAGCATTCTCCACCACGTCATACAGATCTGCATCGCCTCAAGATCTGAGGGTGGAACCCTTTCTGGGCACAGGGTGCTAACAGGTTGGAGGAGATTAGCCAGAAGCTCAGAACCTGTCATCTCCTCCTCCTCCTCCTCCTCCTCCTCCTCCCTGGGACCTGAGTCTGTCAGATGATGCACGTCCCCCACCACCACGAGACCACCCACTCCCACCACTGGATCCACTTCGGTTGGGGGCGGGGGGCGATGGGCAACAGCTCAGCGGGATGCAGTACTCACTGACCACCACAAAGGACGCATCAGGATAAGGACATAGTACGCATCGACCTTCCTCATCCTGAACTCCAGGGCCGAGCTGGGAACATTGATATAATGCAGGATTCCTTACGGGTTCGGCTTAGAGAGGCTATCCACCCCCGTAACCATCAGTCGGACACCAAATACGACACTGGAAGCTCAATGACGGAACGAGGAGGCAAAGAAGCAAGGGTACCCTTGGGACGCCGCTCATCCTTACCATCCGTTTCGACTGGAGGTACGTGAAGCATCGCATGTACTGAATGCGTCGCCCACCAACACCACCGCGACGTCGACAACGACAACGACAACGGCGGCGATAACCCCTCAAACATCGACCCACTGACCTCTCCCCAGGCGGGTTCTGATCAGACTTCCGAAGGGAATCCAGCCGTGTCGACGAGGGCGGCCCGGGGGCACCAGCATTAGAGACCTTTGAGCTGGGCTTAGAATGAGTCGGAGGATCGCGCCGCCATCTGCGCTGCGCCGGTTACGTCGGCGACGTGTCGGCGACGTCGGCGTGGAGGTGATCGGGCTCCAGGTCGAGCCACATCACCAGTGCGTCGGCGATGCATCGGCGATCCTCCAGCCCCCTCTTCTCGGACCGCGTGCGGGATGCCTGGGAAAACCGCCCAGAAGGCCACCACCTTCACACCCCGAGCCTCGAGCGAGCGGCGGCGGCGGCGGGGGGGTGAAGGGAGGCCTCTCCGAGGGCGTCGCCGATGCATCTGGGCCAGCGGGCCTCGGCATCAGGGCCATGAGCCACCTCCGCGGCCCAGGAGGATCATCCGAGAACGGAGGATTGTGGAGTCTGCGGAGGAATCAGACAGGGGAAAAGAGCGGGGAGGAGCAGGAACCGCAGCAGCAGGAGGACGGCAAGGACGAGAGGAAGAGGAAGAGGAGGGCGCCCACAAAGCATGCGCACGCAGACCGCCGTTAACGCACAGTACGACGCACGCGCGCGCGCCCTCAACAAGAGAAGTGACTCCCCAGTCCCCTGTTCAAGTTCATCCACCCTCTTCCCACCATCCTTCCACCCTCATGTTCCTCCTCATCATCAGCCTCCTGTTCCTCATCCATATCCTTATCCTCATGTTTCCTCCGTTCAGCCTCCTCTTCCTCATGATTCCACAAGTTGGCAGGTGTGATCAGCCCTCTTCTCTCCAGCTGCTTGCTGCAAACTGCGCCGCCCCATAAGTCCAATAAGAGTCCCTCTGCTGACGACGACGACGACGACGACGACGACGACGACGACGACGACGACGGCGGCGGCGGCGGCGGCGGTGGCGGTGGTGGCGGTGGCGGCGGAGACTGAAGCTGCGGCGGCGGAGACTGAAGCTGCGGCGGCGGCTGCGGCTGCGGCTGCGGCCGCGGCTGAGGCTGCGGCTGCGGCTGCAGCTGCGGCTGCGGCTGCGGCGGCAGCGGCGGCTGCGGCGACGGCTGCGGCTGCAGCGGTGGCTGCGGCGGCGGCGGCGGTGGCGGCGGCGGCGACGACGACGACGACAACCACGACGATGATGACGGGGGAGGGAGGGGAAGGCGGAGGAGGGGGAGAAGGAGGCAGGGGAATCGGCGGAGGCCGAGGCGGGGGAGGCGGAAACGACGGGGGAGTGAGAGGATCGGGCACTCGCTAACGGGGATAGGGATCCGTAGATCTGGCGCGTTGGTACCAGTTTCATAGATCGCGAAGGTACCAGGCACCCCCGAAACAGGAGGCCACTGCCGCCCGATGTGGCGCCGGAGCGCGCCGATCCTGCACGGAAGCGGGACCCGCCGCCAATTCACCCACTGTAGTCCATGTCTGCGCTGCCTCGAGGGGAGGAGGAGGAGGACGACGAGAGCAAACCCAGAGGCGGAGGAGGGGGAGGCGGAGGGGGGATGCGAAGGAGGGGGATGCAAAGGAGAAGGCGGAGGAGGGGGGGAGGCGGAGGCGGAGGAGGCTGTGGCGGGGTCGTCGTCTTCTTCTCATTCTTAAAATTATTCCTCCTCCTCCTCCTCCTCCTCCTCCTCTTCCGCCTCCTCCTCTTCCTCCTCCTCCTCCTCCTCCTCTTCCTACTCCTTATCCTTATCCTCCTCATCGTCCTCCTCCTCGTCCTCGTCCTCGCCCTCGTCGTCGAGACGGCGGAGGATCAGAGCAAACCCCAAATGTCCCCCTCGGCCCACTCCGGCGGATCCGCGTGCAGGGCCCGGCTGAAGCGGTCCGCGGCCTCCCCCACCGACCCTCGGGGGAAGAGGGGGCTGGCAGTCGACGCTGGCCGCCACCGCCACGAGCGAGGACTCCTCCTCCGCACCCTCCTCCAACTCCACCTCCTCCCCTTCCCCCTCCCCCTCCTCCTCCTCCTCCTCCTCCTCCTCCTCCTCCTCCTCTCCTCCTCCTCCTCCTCCTCCTCCTCCTCCTCCTCCTCCTCCTACCTCCTCCTCCTCTCTCCTCCTCCTCCTCCTCCTCCTCCTCTGCTCTTCTGCCCTCCTCCTCCCCCTCTTCTCCTCCTCCTCCTCCTCCTCCTCCTCCTCCTCCTCCTCCTCCTCATGATCCTCTTCTTATTATTCTTATTATTATTATTATTCTTAATACTATTATTCTTCTTATTATTAATTATCTGTTCTTATGAGTGTTATTACTACTCTTCGTATTACCAATGGTATTCTTATTATTGGTTGTCTTATTAATAAGATTAGAATTGTTAATAGTGTTATTATTCATCGTCTTCTTATCAGTATTATCAGTATTCTGAATATTGTTAGTAGACTTATTAGTATTATGATTAGTATTAGTAGAATCATGCGTCATAGACTTATTCGTATTGTTATTAGTATTAATATGATGATTATTATTAGTATTAGTATGAGTAGTATTATTATTAGTACTCTTAGTATTGTTAAAAGTAGTATGATTAAAAATAGTATTATTAGTTCTATGTGTATGGATGTAACTATTATCACTAGTATTATTAATACTGTCATCAGTATTCCTCTTCTTCTTCTGATTAGTCTTCTTCTTATTGTTAAAATTATTATTATTATTATTATTATTACTATTATTAGTAGTATCCTTCTTCTTATCATTATTCTTCCTCCTCCTCCTCCTCCTCCTCCTCCTCCTGATCCTCCTCCCCCTCCCCCTCCTCCTCCTCCTCCTCCTCCTCCTCCTCCCTCCTCCTCCTCCTCCTCCTCCTCTTCCTCCTCCTCCTCCTCTTCCTCCACCTCCTCATCCCCCTCTTCCTCCTCCTCCTCCTCCTGTTCCTGTTCCTCCTGTTCCTACTGTTCCTCCTCCTCCTCCTCCTCCTCCTCCTCATCTTCCTCCACGTCATCATCATCATCATCATCATCATCATCATCATCATCATCATCATCATCAGCAGCAGCCGCAGCAGCAGCATCATCAACATCATCATCATCATCATCGCCATCATCATCATCATCATCATCATCATCATCAGCATCATCATCATCAGCCTCATCATCATCATCATCATCAGCAGCAGCAGCATCATCGTCATCATCATCATCATCCTCATCATCATCATCATCATAATCATCATCATCATCATCATCATCATCATCATGATCATCATCATCAGCATCATCATCAGCATCATCATTATCATCATCAGCATCATCCTCATCGTCAGGATCATCATCATCATCAGCATCAGCAGCAGCAGCATTATCATCCTCATCATCATCAGCATCATCACCGTCAGCATCATCATCATACCATCATCATCAGCATCATCGTCGGCATCATCAGCATCATCAGCATCATCTGCATCATCTGAATCATCATCATCATCATCATCGGCATCATCATCATCATCGTCATCAGCATCAGCACCAGCATCAACAACACAATCAGCATCATCATAATCATCACCAGCATAATCATAATCACCATTAGCATCAGCGTCATTATCAGCATCAACCACATGATCATCATCAACAGCATAACCAGCATCCGCATCAGCATCAGCATCATCAACGTCACCATCATCATCCACAACACCAGAAACACCCAACACCACAACCATCATCATCATCATCATCGCAAGCACAATCATAAGCATCAGCAGCAGCATCATCAGCATCATCGTCACCATCACCACCATGATTGTCATCATCCGCAGCAACATTATCACCGACAACATAATCAGAATCATCATACGTATAAGAATCACCATCATCAGCAGCATCAGCAACAGCCTGATCATCATCATACTCATAATCACCATCCTCATCATACGCAGCAGCATCATCATCAGTAGCAGCAGCATAATCAGCAGCACCACCACCATCGTCAGCATCATCGTCAGCAGCATCGTTACCAGCAGCAGCGTTATCATGACCAACATCCTCATCAGCAGCAGCACCAATATCATCATCACCGACATCACCGTGACCGTCACCATCGCCATCAATATCGCCATCAGATGCAGCAGTAGCATCCACATTATCATTACCCGCATCATCATCACCATCATCAGCATCATCATCACCATGACAATCAGCAGGAACAGCATCGTCATCAGCATGACCACCATCACCATCATCATCATCATCATCATCATCAGCAGTATCCTTATCATCGCTATCATCATCATCACCATCATCATGCTCAGTAACATCATCAGAAGCGGAATCGCCAACATCATCATCACCATCATCAGCGGCATCGACAGCACCAACATCATCACCATTGGCATCGGCATAATCGCCGTCGCCATCGTCATCGTCGCCGTCATCGTCATCATCACCATGCGGCCCTGAAACAACACAGGCTGGTCTTGCAGTACTTAGCCCAGGCGTGACTTCGGGTTGTGGCGCTCAGGAGGTTTGGCAAGGACCAGGAGATGCCGAAGCCCCTCTCCCAGCACCGCGCGCCCGTCGTCTTCGAGCGGGCCGACGAGCACGGTCGTTGGCGCTGCGTCGAGGACGGGCACTTTAGGCGCAGGCGGCGCAACGCGACGGCCACTACACGGTCGTCACTTGCCACGCTGCGGTCAGGATCGACGAGACAATGCCGACCGACCAACGTTGCCTCACCCATGGCGGAAGCATTCTTCCAACAGACGCTCCGCACATGGAGGCGTGCGGAACTTGAGCGACCGGCACTGGCACTTAGTGGACTCGCTGGTGCTCGTCTGGAGACGCAAGACGGCGAGCAGCCTGGACGCGACCCCCATCGTGAGGCGGTCCGTGAGGACGAAGCGGCTGGACACGCTGATGAGCTGCCCGCCGCTGCCGATATTGGTGGTCATCGGGATGGAGGGTGGTCCGTCTGACGAGGCCGCGGCGGCGATCGGTGACCAGATCATCGACGCCGAAGCAGATGGTCTAAAGACTGCGCTGGAAGAACTGGGCCACATCGTTTTTGAGGTCAAGAACGTTTATTGTTGTGAACTTTGCGCTGGCACGTGCGACGTGTTGCGCCCTGCTGATACGAGGAAGCTGAGACGGCCGTGCCTCGGTCTATCGTCCAACCCATCGACGTTACGCAACCAACGCACAGCGATAAGTCGGGTACGACGAGGCCTACCACCACGACAGCGAGGTGCTCCTGCCGAAGCTGAAGATGGTGGGTGACCAGAAATGGCTGACCCACTATCGCCACTCCTCTGCATTGGTGGAGGCTCGCCCGTCGGATGAAGGCGGCACCGTTACCCGTACGGGTCCTGGAACACACGCCGTTACTGGTAACTCGTACGGGTC